AGAATTCCAAATATCTGTCCTGAAAAAGCTCTTTGAACTCCAAGACAACACAGACATTTTGAGCAGAGAAATTTAACAAAGAGATTGAAATAATTTATTTTTAATAAAGCAGAAACTCTAAAACTTAAAAATTCAGTTGTCAAACTGAGAAATACATCAGTCTCTCAACAACAGAATTGACCACGCAGAAGAAAGATTAGGGAGCTTGAAGACGGGCTATTCCGAAGGGGAAGAAGTTCAAGACCAGCCTGGGCAACATAGCAAGACCCTATCTCTGCAAAAAAAAATTCTTTTAAAAATTAACCAGATTTGGTGATGTGCACCTATAGTCCCAGCTTAAGCTACTCAGGAAGATGAGGCAGGAGGGTCACTTGAGCCCAGGGGTTTGAGGCATCAGTGAACTGTGATTGTTTCACTGCACTCTAGCCTAGGAGGCAGAGTAAGTCTTTGTCTCTAGAAGTAAATAAACATTATCTGTTCACTTTCTGTTTTGATAGTTGAAAGTGAAGCATTCCTGTGCTCTCTCACACATACTACTTACCCTCCCTATCCCCGTGGAGAATTAAAGCTCATGTTTTTATTAAATCAGTAATCTTTCCATCATGATGCTTCCAAAACCATTGTTTACTCCTGAAGCTAGTAGTCTGTTTCATTTTCTTTTTTTATATAACACTTTGACTTTTTTTGGAATTAATAATTGCCTTGTCTTTTTACTTGCTTTGTTTTCTTTGTAGACTAATTTTTTTCAAAATGATTCCTAAATCTGCTACACACTTATTTCTCACCAAATGCTGCCTGTCCATGCCCCTTTTATCCTCGAGCCCTTGTCCCCGTGCTCCTGACAGGCCCAGCCCAATGCACTGTTGACATCCTGATGTTCCTCCTTCCAAAGTGTCTTTTTTCCTTATCCTTATTTAATAAGATATATATAGTCCAGAGTCTTCCTAAAACAGAACTCACAGAAGGTAAATTTCCTAAGCCTTTGTATGTCTGAAAACACCTCTCCTTGCCCCACACTTGGTTGAGAGTTTGGCTGGGTGTAAGATTGAGTTGATCGTTTTCCCACTGTCTTTTGAAGACATTGCTCCATTGATTCCTAACATCTGGCATTGTGATGGAGAAGCATCCTTTTATTTATAGTTCTTTCTGTCCCCCACTTCCACTGCCTGATCCCCTTACCCCACTCTAGAGCACAGAAGGCACCTCTGGCCACAGGCTTGGGCTTTTTAATCCTGCATCCCATCCCCACACTCCTGAGGCGCAGTACTTGCTTCTTGAGTCCCAGTGAATTACTCCGATTCGGGTCACTTCTCATTGTCTTGTTTCTCACTCATTGTATTTCCTGTCTCTTTTTGGACGCTTTGCTGGCTAGCCCTTGGAGCATCAGGATGGATAGTGAAGGGCAGAAAGCCCCCTGCTTTATGGGGTCCCCATATGTAAGGTGCAGGGAGAACTTTGCTCTGGAGGAGAGACCCAGCTTCCAGTGGGGAGTGCAGGGACAGGGATTAGGTAGCCCAGTGGCAGGTGTCCAGGCACGTGAGGGCAAGGGCTGGGGAACACTTTGCAGTGTGCAGACTGCTCCTTCTACCCCTGAGACAAGAGCCGTCCCCTCAGCACCTCCAGAGAACACATCAGAGAGTTGCCCAGATGTAGGAGGTGGGTCGTCTGGGGGTCTTCAGCACCTCCATGCCCTGCCCCACCTTTCTGCTGATGATAAACCAGAGCATAAACAGCTGATGAGTCTGGTGGCATGGGTAGTGGCCAAGTGGACGCAGCAAGGCCACAAGATGTGGGAGAGACAGAGCTAGGGGTATCTGGGCAGAGGATGGCCAAGCACAAGCCTGCAACCAGACGTGCCTGCCGTGTTCAGCAGAGTGGGATAAGGGGACCAGGCAGTGGAAGTAGGGGCCTGAATGCCAGTGTGTAAGCAGACACCTCTAGCTCTTGAGAGACCACTGGCTATGGCTGTGTGCACCAGGCAGGGGCTCCTGTGCTATTTAGGTAGAAGCAGGTGGGATGGGGCTGTGGTCTGGGGCAGGCATTATCTGTGGCTAAGGTGTCACACCTGCAGAAAGGGGCAGGAACACCCACATTTGGCTGCTGGTCCCTCACATAGGTTTCAACATCTGCCTAACCCTTTGTCCCACAGGCCTTGTCTGGGGAACTGGGGGGCCCAGGGCACAGCAGTGTCCTGAGCAGAGAAGGGATGGCACACCTGTGAGGGCACCATGCAGCCCTGGAGAGATCTACTGTCCAGCCTGAGCCAGCAGCCAGAGACACAGCCAGGAACAAGAGCACACCACTGGCCCCATGGGATACATAGAGAGCTGTGTGGGTTGCGTGGGCCCCAGGGACTCGGGGGGCTTTGGTCAGCTCCTTGGGCTCTCCCAGAGGGAAGACATTGTGCTGAGTCTGCTTGCCTGTGTGTGACATTTGCAGTTTTCATTTTAACATTTTGTTGTAAAATATATGACACACTTGGACCAATGCTGCTGACAGGGACACATCTGTCTCTCTGTGCACACCTGCTGTCCTGGGTCCCTGCAACCATCCTTGGGGCAGGAGGCCCTGATCTGAAGGGTTGTTTGGGCCATAGGCCCAGGAAACTGGGGTGCAGAAAGGGCAGGTGAGGTTACTGGGCTGTGACCAGGCACTTTGACAGGTGGCCTGGCTCAGTCCCCCATGGGCAGGGAGTGCCCCATGGGCACGGGCACCCTTGCCTCCTGTTGGTGCCTACGGGGCATCCTGTGCAGAGGCAACCTCAGCACAGGAGAGTGGCCAGGGGACATGAAGGAAGGAGGGTGCCTCCGATTCTCTGAGGGGATCAGGCTTAGGCAGTTTTTAAAATGAGTGGCCTGTCTCAAGTTCATGCTCCATGATCCCCAGTTTGTTCAGAAACCTATGGATAAGTTGTTCATGGATTCTTTAAGCCCCTCCAGTGGTTGTACCCTAAAAATAGAGCCCTTTCCTCCCCAAGACGACACCCCAGGAGACAGAGGGACCGTTGTTCCCCTCAGTTATCTGTGCGTGTGCTGGGACACATAACAACCAAGCCACCCTCCCACCCTCCTCATCACTGCCTTGATGGAGTGTGATCTGCGTCCACTGAGGCCAGCCCCCCGCGCACAGGGGTCTGCCAGGCGTACTCCCCAGGCTGCCCAGACGGCCCATCCCCGCCCTCCTGCACAGCAGCTGTTTATCTGTTAGCGCTGAGTCTCGAGGGTGGAGAGGTCTGAGGTCTGGAGAGGGGTGGTCCCTCATGCTGGCACTGACCAGGTGGGGCTGGAAAAGGACCTGGCCTGGCCAAGTCCTAGAGGCAGCAGGGTGTAGTGGCCCCTCACTGGCAGAGGCTCCAGAGGCACTGCAGGGGTGAGGAGAATGGAGCCTGTGGCACACATGCTGCCCTGGGGCCCTGAGTGTGGGTCGGTGTGAAGCGTGTCCAGCCCTCCGCCTTGGGTGCAGGTGTCAGGGGTCCTTCAGAGCATCCTCCTAGGGGAGGCCGGCAGGATCACCTGGACCCCATTTGCCAGCTCCCTTCCCCATCCCTGTACATTCAGTGCCAACTTGGCATGTGTGGCTCCATGCCCTCATGCCAGTTCTTTAAACTGTTCGGGAGCCCTCACCCCACCCATCCCCAGGGCCAGGACTGTCATAGGTAGTGGCTGCTGTGGGTGCCACGGGGGGGTGGGGCAAGTAGCATCTGTTGTGCCATTGAGCTGGTGGGTGGCAGCTCAAGGGTCTCCTGAGCAGTCAGGGTCATGGGAGCCTGAGATGTGGTAGTGGAGGACCCATGCCCCTTCCCTCACTTCCTGGGCCTGATCCTCTGCCACTAGTCCTCCAGTATGTATGACACCCTGTTGTGTGCAGGCATGAGGGAGACAGCCTTGCCCTCAGGCACTCAGGACCCTCCTCTGTGCCCAGGAGCTGCCACTGCCAATGCAGATGGGTAGTACCAGGCAGGCAGGTGGTGGGTGCAGGTGCGTGAGGGGGCTGGCTGGACTGAGGCAGGAGCATGTGGACATGCCTCCCTGTTGCCCATAGCTTGTCCACACTCTTAGAATCAGCCATGGCCTGACCCTGGCGTCATCAGCTTAGCCCTGGTGGGTACCCCCTCCCCATAACCTGCTAGGAGCACCTGGAGGGCCGGTGAATGGCGTGAGTGCACTTGAGTTTCACTGTCTGGGGAGTGCCAGGCATAGGGGAGGCTCCTCAGGAGCTTCTCCACTTAGGAGAGCTGAGAAAGGTCTGGGGGTTCTCCTGCCCCAACCCTGGTTCCCCTGGGCCTACAGCCCACCCACCCTGCCATGCAGGAGCCAGGAGGAGGGGGCCCTCCAAGTATACCGCTGCTGACCCCTTGCAGCTGACTCCACACACACCAGGCCATTCTAGGTGCATCTGGAAGCCGCCACTATGTTTTATCCACCTGTCCAAGGTGTCCTGATGCCCCCAGGACAGTCATCACAGCCAGCCTGGCAGGGACACAGGTCATCCTGGGATTTAAAACCAAGTATGGTTGGAGACCATACAGGTGATGAATCGTGGCTTCCCCTGGGGTTCTTGGCAGTACCTGGATGGGGGTGGGGAGGAGGCTCACAGCCTGGGAATGGGGGTGCCCCTTGCTGGCCCTGGTCATACTCTGTGTCTGGTGAGCAGCCCCTTGAGCAGTGCTGTCCCTGTGCAATGAACAGTCAGTGACGGCAGCCGCAGTTGTGGGACTCCCCTGGGTGTGGGGTGCTTAGTGGCCCCACATCAAAAGCCGGAAGTCAGCTTGTCCCTCCCGTGGAGCCAGCAGGCAGAGGGGGCAGGGCTGAGCACTACAGGGAACTGTAGTGGTACCTTTGGTGGCCGTGTGCTGTTGGCATGTCCCTTTGCATCCCTGATCCCAGGTTGTGAAATGGCCTTTTTAAGAGCTACACATAGCAGTGAGCGGTCCATAGCACGTGACGCTGAGGCTCCTGCGATCAGGAGCCCGCCTTACCCCTCCTCTCTTCTCATTGCAGGAAGTTCTACTACATAACTCTGCTGCGAGACCCTGTGTCCCGCTACCTGAGCGAGTGGCGGCACGTGCAGCGGGGCGCCACCTGGAAGACGTCGCTGCACATGTGCGACGGGCGCACACCGACGCCTGAGGAGCTGCCGCCCTGCTACGAGGGCACGGACTGGTCGGGCTGCACGCTGCAGGAGTTCATGGACTGCCCCTACAACCTGGCCAATAACCGCCAGGTGCGCATGCTGGCCGACCTGAGCCTGGTGGGCTGCTACAACTTGTCCTTCATCCCCGAGGGCAAGCGGGCCCAACTGCTGCTGGAAAGCGCCAAGAAGAACCTGCGTGGCATGGCCTTCTTCGGCCTGACCGAGTTCCAGCGCAAGACGCAGTACCTGTTCGAGCGGACGTTCAACCTCAAGTTCATCCGGCCCTTCATGCAGTACAACAGCACGCGGGCGGGCGGCGTGGAGGTGGACGAGGACACCATCCGGCGCATTGAGGAGCTCAACGACCTGGACATGCAGCTGTACGATTATGCCAAGGACCTCTTCCAGCAGCGCTACCAGTACAAGCGGCAGCTGGAGCGCAGGGAGCAGCGCCTCCGGAGCCGCGAGGAACGCCTGCTGCATCGCGCCAAGGAGGCGCTGCCGCGGGAGGACGCGGAGGAGCCAGGCCGCGTGCCCACCGAGGACTACATGAGCCACATCATTGAGAAGTGGTAGTGGCGGCTGCCCGCGGAGGCCTCTGGGGTGGGGGGGTGAAATGGGACAGATAGACCAACACACAGAGCCCACCCAGGACCGGCAGGGGAGAGTGCCCCAAACCTGCTCCGTGGGAGGTTGATGCGGGATGGGTGGGCTGGGGGTTCTCAACTGTCTCTCCCAGGACAGGGTTCCAAGGAGTCGGCCTGCGTAACCAGAGGAAAGAGAGTAGGTGGGCCCTAGGCACAGCCAGCCTCTGGGAGGAGGCTCACTGTTTTTCTGGCCCCGGTGTCACTGGCACAACGGAGAAGGTTTGAAGAATAGGCACAGACCATGGAGAGAGGCTTCCAGGCCAGGAGCGTGCCCCTCACCAACTATGCACACAGTACTTGCTCTCAGCCCCTCTGTCACGGCCAGGCATTGGGGAGCTCCTGGTTTACCCATCTGCACCTGCCACAGCTCAGGGCCCTCCCTGTCTGAGGCAAAGATGAACCCAGTCCCCAGGAAGCTTACTCCCCGCTCTGGTCCATGATCAGAACCCACAGCCCAGCTTGAGGCTTCAGGTCAGGGGCCAAAGCAGACCTCTAGGGCCCTGCAGTTCTCAGACTAGGGGAAGACACATGGGGAAGGGGTACGGTGCACTACCCCCACCCATAGCCAGAGTGGCAGCTCAGGCCTCCAGCTGGCCTTCGGGGGGTGATCATCCAGGCACACTAGTCTCAGAAAAGGAGGGGTGCCGCCTGCCCCGTTCCCCTTTTCTGGCATGCTAGACCATAGCGGGCTGCCCCCAGCCCCGTCACTGGGACGTTTGTTCAAGGGCTCAGATCCTACTGCCCCCACAGCCCAGTGTTTGAAAGTACAAGCCAGCTTCTGTTTGCAGAACATGGGACCACAGCTGCTGCCGGTGAGCCGTACCCAGGGCCATAGTGGTAAGGAAAGGGGGCTCGGGCTCTGATTCTCAGCTAGGGTTGGGAGCTCAGCACTAGGTGCACTCAGGCATTTAGCCCTCTGCACCCAGCTCTCCTTGCATTACCACCCCTACCCCACCCCCCAAGGCTGGCTAGCTCTGTCCCTAGCAGCCCCGCAGGCCGCAGTGGCCCTATCAGAAGCCATGTCACATACCAGTTGTAAGCACTTGCCCTGTTTCCTATCCCTCATGTGCCCCAGGAGGCCAGGCTGGAGTCTCCTCCGTTGTGCTCTCACCCAAGTGTTAGTGCCCCAGCTCCCCCCGGAAAGCAGGTGTGTGCCCAGAGGCTGCAAGCTATCACGGCAGGCTGTGGGCTCTACAGGCCACCTGGCCAGGGGATGGAGGCTGTACCTTCAGGAAGAGCTGAGGTGTGGTCAGATGAGGCTGCTACCCAGGCAGGAGTGGCTTTAATCCTGGCTTGGATGGCATAAGGGCCAATTCACCTTGGGGTCCAAGGGCAGTCAGCAGGCTAGGACAGGCCTGCCCAGGGCCATCACCCAGGCCGGTGTGCCACACTGGGGAGGCAAATGCTGAGGTGATTTAGTGGTGTGGCTCTTTGAAAGGGAGGTTAGGGTCAGTGTAGGGGGTCTACTTTGAGGCTTCCCCCTGGGAGGAGAGTGACGCTTGTTCAGCAAAGCCTAGGGTCTTGCCCAAACCACATAGGATGCCTTTGCCTCCTGTCAGGAGGTGGGCACCTAGCCAGTGGCCTGGCTCAAGATGGCCCTCCTTGTCACGGTCTTCGGTGTGTGCCAGGCTGAGCATTGAATCTGTTTTGTACATATTGGAATACGTTTTAACTTATGCCCTGCCCCAACTCAAACGCAAGCACGGGTCTCTTCTCGGTCTTCTTGCTGCATTTAGAAAGCAGTCTCGTTTCAGGCCAGTGCTAGGCTGAGGTGCCTGGAGATGGCAGTGGCTGGCAGTGCCCTCAGCCTGCCAAGTGTCCAGCCTGGCATTTCCCACTCAGGCCACCTGCTTTGGGGAAAGGCTTCTTGTGCCTGCAGCATCTCCTAGACTCCGAGGACTCTGCCTTTGCAGGGGCACTTCCCTGGGCTGAGGGGACAGAAGCAGACATGCAGTGAGCTTACATCTCGGTCACCAGAACCCTCAGACCTGCAGACATCCCTTCTTAGAGGGGGAGCAGGGACAGCAGAATCGTCTACGCAACAATTATGTGAACTTTTCGGGAACTGGAACTGTTTAACTTGAACCCAGGAGCGTTTAAAGCTTTATTTATTTATAGCTTCTTCTTTAAAAAAAAAAAAAAAAGTGATGAGAAGAAAATTTTTGGGTTATTCATACAAAAAAGTTGATGATGGAAAAGCAAGTCATAATTATCTAATTGTTTTTGTCTAGGTCAAGAATGAATGTTAGCAGATGAAATAAACCCTGAAAAGGAGCCTCTGTGTGCTGTGGTCTGTGGAGGTGTGGTAGTTCCCCGGCCGGGCTGCCCCCACCCTGAGGGGGCCCAGACCTGAGTCCTGAGCTCAGGGATGTTTCTGTCACTGTTCTGCCCTGAGGTGCAGATGGCCCAGTGAGAGAGTCAGATTAAGGACTGTGATGTGAAAGCCAAAGGTGGGACTTGGTCATCACCATGAACAGTAACCATTTATTAATCATTAATTACAATGCTTGGGAAGGTGGCATCCAGCTGAGAGGAAAGCTGGTGCCATTTGGCGATATCCTCGGTGACCTATTTTCCCCTCACCTCTTGAAATTTTGAATGATTTCAAATAACAAAAAAGGTGCAAAATAGATGATGGACACCCATGGGCTCTTAGCCTAGATTCAGCTGGAGGTAATGAGTTGTCATCTTGTGTCCTGTGCTCACACTGCCTGTTGACACACACACTGAAACACACGAACACTGTGCTTTTCCAAAACACTTGACAATAAATGGCAGTCATGAGAGTACTGCCCTCCTCAATCTCCAGCTTATTATGTTCTAAGAATAATATCCTGCTACAAACTCCACTCCATTATCACGGCCCCCAAGTGTAACCTCAGTACAAAAACTATCTACTATACTGTTGCACCCGTACCTCCAAGTCCTCCCAGCAGTGTCTTCAGGCTGTTTCTGTAGGCGCAGGACCCCAGGGCACTTTGTTAGGCATCTCCTGTCACCTTCAACCAAGGAGGATCTCACTTATCCCATCCACCCCCTCTTTCCATCTTTCTTAGCATTGACATTTTGGGCTAATATAGGCTCATTATATGTCTAACAAGGTCTGCCAATTCTGTTTCCCAGTGATCAGATTTACTTAAACATCTCAGGCACAAACAGCCGCAGGCGAGGTGGCACAACCCAGTGGACCTTGTGTCCTCCCCCAACTGCCTTGAGAGGAGGAGCCTGCCTGGCCCCTGCCTGGCCCCTGCAGAACCCCAGCAAAGGGAAGGTCACCTGCCTGATAGTTCCTATGACTGTCCTGGGGCAAAGGCCAGCCAGCACTTCCTGGTGTCAAGTGTTTCTGGAAGGATCCTGGCATGAGCAGGCGCGAAGTGGGGTGTAGCTGCCTGAAAAACCCCCCACTCCACCTAGAGAATCCCCTGTGACTCTGAGTCTGCAGGGAGGGGCAAAGACCAGGGTCTCAGAGGAACTGCATTGTGCAGAGGCTCACCCATTCTCTTGGCTTTGGCCTTTCCCTGACCCTTCGTTTGGGAGTTAAGCCTGGCTCTTCCCTCAGGGAAGCCACAATGGACATGTCCTCCATTTTTTGGTAGCTCTATTTGGCTCCGCAGGGCCAGTGTCATGATCAGAAGTGTAATCAGTCATGAAAATGCATCATCCCCCCAAATGGGTTTTCACCCTCCTCTTGTTTACAGTTGAAGGCCACTCTAAAGTCTATCTGAGCCAAAGACCAGCTTTGGTCCACCCCAGCCAGCCCATCCCTCTGAGGGCTACGCCCCCCTCCTGCCTGGTCCCTTGCCCCTCCAGTCCCCTGGGGAGCCCATACCTGGCTTTGTAGTCCCTACACCACCACCTCCCTGCCTTGTGTCTCTCCCACCACTGACATCCCCTCTTCACTCTTGGTGCTCCAGCTATGACCAGCTGCTCCTCCATGCTCAGGTGGGTCTGCGGGGCCTGCTCCCTACTACTTCGCCAGTCTTCCCCACAGAGGCGTGGAGCTAGGGCGTCTCCTCACAACCTGCTCTGGTGGAGACGCCCCCACACACTCTCCCTGGGTGTGGTCTCACGTGTCTGGCTTAGGGTCTCTGGTCCCCTTCCCACTGGCACCGACAGGAGCCATCCAACTTAGCCCAACCTAGCAAGAATGGGCTCCCCCAAGTGCCCCCAGGAGTGTGCACCTGGTCTTGGGGACCTTCAAAGCTAGGAGGCTTCCAGGGGCACATGATGCATCCATGACAAGGGGACTCCTCCTCCCGGGAGGGCCTCAGCTCAGAGGTACAAAGGGACCCTACCAGGGGAAGCCTGGTCCCCATGATGCCCCCAAACGTCTCCAGGGGCAGCTCTGCTCTTGGTTTGGGCTTTGGAATTCCCCTAGACTATTGGCTGCCATTGGCTCTTGTGCCTATTTCCTTCCCTGTAAAATGGGAAGGAGAAAGAAGGACCCAGGCAGAGCTTTCATCCCAGCCCCACCCCTGTCCCTAGAGGCCATCTCCAGCCCAGCCCCTAGGAGGGCCTGCTCAAAGCAGAGTCCTGGCTCTGCCTCAGCCACTGCCCAGCAAAACCATACAGCCCAGCCCAGTGGGCACACCTAGGGACTATCCACCAAGGGCCATGACGGTTTTCCTTCCACCTCCACCAGCCAGTGCTATCTCTTTGCCTGGAGCACAGTTGGAAGGGTCCCCCATCTGCCTACTCTCCACCTGGCCCAGATGCCTGCCACCTCCAACTTGGCCCCCACAAGACTGTTCCAAGTTTAGCCCACCCAGCCTGAGGCTTCTCAACCTTCACCCCAGGCTTCAGGGGACCTAGTTCCCAGAGCAGGCCCAAAGGAGAGTCCAAGTTTACAAACAGCACTGCCCAGACATGCCCAGAACATGCTTCTTCTCAAGAAATTACTACATCCCCTCTGAAGCGGACTTACATTTTTTAAAACTCATCCATTTGAGTCAACTATCCCTCCGGTTTGAAAGAATCTGTTAAGGGACCCCATCCTCCTCCACTTACCCTTCTCTCTGGGTGTCATCAGGGCACTCAAATGTGGCCTCCTGCTACCTCATCTAGAAGGCCATCAGCCTTGGCCAGGACCACCAGCCTCTGTCCTCACCAGCCCCACTGCCAGAGTATCCATCCAGGGTGGCCGGAACTTGGGGTCTCTTTCTTGGCCCAGATGAGGCACAGGGCCTCCTCCTGGGGACTGAGCTCAGCCCCCAGCCCGTAGTCAGCAGGTGCCCCTTGCACCCCAGGGTGGGAGGCCCACTCTCTGAACTTGCCACTCTGCCTGTCTTCTCTGCTGCAAACACCCATCCCCAGAGGCTGCAAGCAGAGGCTCCATGGCCCATCTGTCCCAGTGCCCACCCCTGCCAAAGGCCATGGGCATGCAGCACTGAGGCCTGGCATCTTCCCCTTCACCTGTGGCCTCGGAGTCACCCACACCCCACCTTCTGGTTGTCCCCTGTGATGGGGTGTCCTCACTGCCCCCATCCTTCTGCCCTCCTCTGTGGCCCCTCCAAACCCTGTGATTTCTATGTGCAAGGAAGTCTGGGGACTTTGGAAAACACTTTTCTTTCTCAAACAAAAAGCCAAGCATTCAAGCAAGCCTCTCCAAGACTCCAGGGAGTCGGCTGGGAGTCCGTGGCGCCAGCTCAGCAATGCTTCTTTGTTCCCAGTGGTGCCCACCCTGCTCCAAAAGCCACGATGGCCTGGATTCCAACCCCAAGAGCTCCAGGCAATATGGAGCCGAGTGCTTTCCCGGCTCCCCCCGCCCCCAGGGTGCGGCCATGGTGTGACAAAGCCTTGCGCACAGGAAGAGCTTGAAGGGGCCCTTGGTTCTGGCAATAAAGGCTTCTAGAGGCACTGGGTATCCATCTAACAAAGGGCTGCCTGTATAACTCGCACGTGATTCTTTAGGAAGCAGTTTAAAGCATGCCTGGCCTTGTGTGTCTGGAGTATGTTGAGAGGTGCTGCGTGGGGAGTGGCTTGAAGTCTGCCTGTTTGCAGCTGGCATCCCACAAAGGAAGTGATGTTTCCACTTCAAAGAAGTTGACATTCAGACATCAATGCAAGTCCTGCTATTTGTCCCTTGATAGCTCTTCCCCTCTCCCTCCTTAGTAGTAGAATCTCCGTCTATCAGTGGGAACACATCCAGGCAGGATCAGGATTACGCTTCCCTCCCAGGCCCCCTTACAATAAGATGTGGCTTCAACCACCATCCTCTGGCTAACAGGGTACAACAGGCTTCCCACTTGTATTGGGAAGTGATCCTGAAAGAGAAGCAGCAGGCTCTTCCCCTCTTTCTCCTCCTGATGGCTAGAATAAGGATATGATAGCTGGAATTCAAGCAGCCATTTTGCACCATGAAATAAAATCATCCATGTGTTAGGATGGCAGAGTAACAAGACAGGTCCTGATGATTGTGGAACAACCCTACCAGCTTTGGGCTGCCTTAAGACTTCATCCAAGTAAGAGAGAAGTAAGTGTGTACCTTGTTTAAGCCACTATTGCTTGGGGTTTCTGGCACCCTGAACTAAACCTAATGTTAACAGTGGTGGACCACAGGGTCTGGCCACTAAAGATCAAATTGCTATGAAGAAAACACAGCTGGAGGCTGCAGCACAAGTCACAACACTTCCGCTTCACCGACTGCTTGAGATGTGCCAAAGACTGCCCACCTGCTGTTCCCGGCCCCATTTATGTGGAAGCATTGAAATGCATAGAGTGAGAAGGGAGCTCTTTCCTTTTGAACCTTTTGAATTTTGAAACATGTATTCAAAACATAAATCGCTGGAAATAAAAACAAAAGTGAAATGTTAGATAAACCCTAAATTCATGATGAGGATTTTCCAAAATCAAAAGACAGGGAGGAAGAATAAGGGAACATCAACTTTATCTGGAGCATTTTACAGATTTTAATTAGAAAATAAGGCTCGGCGCCTGTGGCTCAAGAGGCTAAGGCGCCAGCCACATACACCTAAGGTGGCGGGTTCGCAGCCCGGGCCTGCCAAACAACAATGATGGCTGCAACCAAAAAATGGCTGGGCATTGTGGCGGGCGCCTGTGGTCCCAGCTACTTGGAAGGCTGAGGCAGGAGACTCGCTTGAGCCCAGGAGTTGGAGGTTGCTGTGAGCGTGATGCCATGGCACTGTACCCAGGGGGATAGTTTGAGGCTCCGTCTCAAAAAAAAAAAAAAGAAAATAAGACAAATAAGGGAACAACTGTCCTGTCTGGGTGACAGGTAAGAGGTATGCTTAAATGTTCATAAATAAAAATGTATAA